ACCCTAGTGTGTGACAGGGCTTGCTCTGCTTTTAGCAACCTCCTTTTTTTTTTTTTTTTTTTTTTTCCAACTTCCTGAGTTTTCTTTACACACACACTTGAGTCAACAATTTGCAGGCTCTGCAAATGTGTACGAGCACAGAAGGGATACCATTTTGTCCTTGTAATCGGTTAGGGTCTCGTATTTCCTGAAATAGAATTTATATGCACCATTGCCTGCTGTTTTAGGAGCATCCAGTAAACATGGATTCAGAGCTTGGGAAACGGACAACTGGGAGCTACTGGACCAGAAAATCCACCTTACTGAAAGCTATTATTTCCTGTTTCTACTACTGTCAGAACTTCTTTTTTCTAGGATCGACTGTTTTATCACTTATAAGAAGATTTTTTTTTTTTTTTTGATTTTCCCATCATATTTCAGTGGGCATGCAACAGTTTTCTCTCAGTGTTCTTTCTTCCATCTGCTTCTCCTTTCCATTTTATCATGACACGTTATGGGTCACTGCAGTACTGCTACACTGAGCTGCCAACAAGCATATCATTTTCCATTAAGATCCCGCTCAATGGTTGCAGTGGCATTATTGGAAGAGCGAGCAGACAGAGAGTAATGGACCTCAAGTGATAGCTCTGTCAAATAGATAGTGGAGGAAAGAGCCCATACAGCCCTAATAGACCCAAGTCTCCCCGACTGGAAATTTGCTCAATTGTAACGCCGGGTCAGTCAGTCTTGGCTTGGACATCCGTGACCCTAACCTAAAACACTGAAGTGACTTCTTCGTCTTTTTTTTGTCTCAGTTTTAATATTTTTCTTATATCACATGATCTATATATTTAAAGGGATACAAATAAGACTCCTGCATGAGAAATTAATTTAGCTATAATTCTCTTGTGAGTTTTGTGCCTGCAGAGGATTTACACCACACCGTTACCTCAAGCTTGTCCACAGTATCCATCATTGATTGATCCCATCCATCATCCCTTATGGGGGAAATCATTTTTAATTTACATCTTGATAGTCTTATTAGCCTACCGTTGAGGCCACGGTAGTGTTTCATGGACTTGACACTGAAAGTGCAGAAATTAGCCCAGTGTTTCATTTTCGGCGAGAGTTCAGTTGACACATAATCTGAAAATTTGGAATGTATGAAAAAGTTTTTTTTAAAAATCACTGAGCGGCTTGAAGCCAAGTGATATCTTTATCCAGACAATGGGAAGAGGAACCACTCCCTATTATCGACGAAACAAGGGTCGAGAGGTCATAAAGCGAAATACTGGACTTCATTTTTATGGAAAAGAAAAATGAAGAGCATAAATATATTGGGGCTCTTTGCAGGAACAAAAAATATAACATAGCTGAACACATAGGCACAGGGGCGAGGAGTACTTTCTATGGAGAAAGAAAAACAAAGGAATCTGTCAATGTCTCCTTTAAGGAAAGAATCACAGCTTGCCACAGAACCAGGGGAATTTTCCACAGGAAAGAGGGAAAAAATAATGGTAACCATCGCTCAAGATTTTTACATTAACTTAAAATTAAGCCCATGACTCTGACAGAGCTCTTGTTTTTTGATGAAGCCTGCATGTCAGTTATTCTTGTGTATTTCTTGCTGAGGTGGACTGCTGCGATTCCAGAAGCAACGAAATAGATTAAACATTTCAGTTTGTTCTAATTACAGAAACACAGAATCAGAAATTAGATACTGATGGTCAACAGTCTTGTTGACCATCAGTATCAATTCAAAAATACCTTATTAATCTCCAAAGGGAAATTTAATATCGTTGTACCTAATATTCAGGATTTTTTTTTTATTTTTATAAGTTGTAGATCCACAATTTCAGCACTCACCTCAGTCATCACATGTTTTGAATGAACTGCAAACGTTCACTCATCCTACAAGTTGTGACCCAGTCGAGTATAAGTGACAATGATTTTAGGTTACAGTTTGATCCATTATGCATTTGTCTGAGTGTGGCACATGGAGCGTGTAAAGAAAGTGGGGTATGATGTGGAAAGAGCGAGTGAGCACACATAGGACAAACGGGGCTGTAATTAACAGCGAGGATTTGAAGACATGCAGTCATACCCTAATTACCGAAAAACACCATTGATCAAACGGACACGCACACATGCTGCGTGGGTCTATATGTATAAAACACACACACACAAACACACACGCAGAGGGCACTCACTCTGCTTAGTGAAAAAGAAATGAGAGTCTGGGACAAATGGATCGACAGCATCTGCTTCTCAGTGTCAGGCGGCAGCCGGGTACTAATTACAAATGCCAGAAGACACAAAACCGTGGCAAAGGTCCTCTGCAAACTCCCCTCCTCTGTTCTTCTCTTTTTTTTCCTCTTTTCTTTTTTTTTTTTCCTTTCTGCCTTCATGCTTCAGGGGTAAACAAGCAGGAAAGTCCAGTAGCGAGAAGAAAACGTTCTATGTGAAGCAATTCTTGCCATCGCTTGTGTGTGTGCGTGTGTGTGCATGTGCGTTGTGTTCATTGAATCATAGCCAATAGGCTTTTTATTACACAGTCAGTCTTCAACGTCTCTGATGGAAGCCATCGTGTTTGGAAGCATGGGGGGGAGGGATTTACCAAATCGTAAACAGAAACTTCACCGGCCATGTCGTTCGTACCGAGTCGGACTCCCTTCTGAGCTTCAGAACTGCCCTAATTATTTTTTGGCATAGATTCAACAAGGAGTCTGACATATTCTTTTTTATTACATATTGAATTCAAAGTATTGCACTTCTGCTGCAGATTTGGTAACTGCAAATCTCTAATGCACATCTCTGGTGCCACCATTTAGCTTTATTAGATCGAGATCTGGTGAGTGTGGAAGGCATTGGAGTACAAAAGGACACATTGCTATGTTTTAGAACCTTGGTGGAATGTTTCATTTTCCACATAGAAGAAGCCATTTTCCATTGTGGTCTTTGTGCTTGGAAATTTGCATGATCTTCTTCTATATGCATGGTTCTCACGGGGTTATCTGACTTCCTCCCATGGTCTAAAAATGTTGCTGTTGGATTAATTGGTTGCTCTAAATTGCCCTTAGGTATTATCGTTTGTGGTCATGGTTATTCGTCTTTGCCAACCTGTCCAGGGTGCACCCAACTTCTCGTCCAATGGCTACTGGAGATCGGTACCAGGAGCCCACCCCCCACACACACCCACAACCCTGCACAGATAAATAAGCATTGTCAATGGAGATTAAATCATTTATTTTTATTTTTGAAATTCTCCTTGCTGTAAAAGTTTCACTCTTTGAGACCTCGGAAACCTTGTGTTGTTTGAAGTCGCGCAACGAAACACCACTTCCAAATTTACTGATCTCACCTCAGAAAGCAGGTGCATTCATTTTGAATAATTGTTGTGTAAATTACATGTTCATTATTCCCGATATCCCAGGAGATAAGTAATCATCCACGATACCCTCTGTGTTCACTTGCTGTTTAATTTGATGCAAGCCATTTATCAACCAGCTGTTTCCAATGAGGCCTACGATTAAGTACCTGCGGTAATAAATGAGACTTTATCATTCATGAGAAGAATTGTGTGGCGAGGGGAAAACGCTGACTGCAAGGTAGATTAATTATAGGTCAAAAGAAAAGTCAAGATCATGAAGAAATTATTGAGGTCAATCAAGCATGAAAGAGAAATTAGAGAGAGGTTGTGTATTTTTAAACAAAACTGAAATATATTCTCTTGACAAGCTCATTTTGACTATTGGACAATTTGTAGGTACAACTTGCATTTTGGAACAGTAAGAATCTATTTTTTGGTGATAAGAAAGCGTATTAGATTTAGAGCTTTGCAAAAGAGTTACTTGAACATTTTGGTCTATCATGTAAACTCACAATAAAATAAAATATATAGAAGTTGGAAGTTACATAACAAAGCAATTGACTGATGCTTTGTATGTTCAGTCAAAAATGACGGAATCAAATTGTTGCTCCTCTTCTTGTGACTTAAATGGAATCTGTGTACACAACACCAGCAGATGTTTCTTAAACAGATACATGTGAGATGACCTTGTGAATAAGTTTCAAGAACACAGAGGAATGCCAGACGCCAGCTAAGTCAAATTATGCATGGATCCAAGAACCATTGGGAAATATTCTGACAGATTCAATGTACTGTGAATACATTAAGACCCAGCTTAAGTCTGATGAGGTGCAATAGGAATGTGAAAACACGCGACCAAGAAATCAGGTGTTAAAGGGACGACAGATTTCACTATGGTGTCAATAGAGATCTGCAACCAAACGCCTTAGGCAATCCAGTGTGGAGGGGAAACTGAGCTGTCAACTTATCACTGCCTGTTGGCAAGTTGAGCTGATAGCATGAAAGAATGCCAGATGGGAGTGGTGCACCCAATCACCACAAAGGACAGAGGGTCCTTTCCATGACTCTGTGCCCACTCAGGCAGAGCTTTACTGGCATGCTAAGGTTAGGGATACTGTTAAATTGCACAAACCTGTGGCTATGAATCAGTTATATTTACACTGAGCAACTGACAGGTGAATTTAGACCAATCAGAACATGGCTTAGGTGATTGCAGGAGCAAAACACCTCTGGGAGGATTTTGGTAAATCTCTACCCCACTGGGTTTTTTTGGTTTCACTTTGACATAGGCCAACTGACATGTAGAGCGAATATGTGCTGACATTGGCTATAGAGAGTGAACATTTTTCTTGACAAGTACTTCCACTGACTCACTTAAGGTCCTTCACCGTTAGTGTAATGTGAAACTAATTTGCTTTTGTTTTCCTGACATCCAGAAGGAGACCAAGTTTGAGGTTTAAAAGCAGTGTGCCATGCCTCTCGATTGTAGATTGCATACAAAGCCTTTTGAAACTATGCACCGTCTCAAAAGGCACTGTCTCCGTGTTCAAGACCGTAACTCAGTACATTGTCAGTTATGAGTGGTCAACTGTAAGCTTTAGGTAGAATAATTTAAGAATTGTTACGTGTTAATGACCCACATGCACTCAGGAGACCAGTCGAAATTAATGTTTATTACAAAAATAGTGAATGTCTTTGGTTCAGGGTGGAACTGGAAACCAGGAGCTACGCAAAGTCAGAGGTGAGAGAAGGAAGTGAACATGATGTATAACAGAGGTTACTGAGGATTATTGTCAGGGAGAGGTGCGTGGAATGTGGCCGATGGTCTTCATGGTCTGAAACGGCCCTGGGCCGTATGAGCAGGGTTGTAGGTGTTCTTGGCTTCTGACCTTATCCTCCTTTTTACAGGTGTGACCGATCTGTTGAGTTGGAGCACAGAGTGTTTAAACCTGGCCGTTTCCATCTTTGGGGTTACCTTCGGTGTCCACTCTGCCTCCTGTGGGCCTCAGTTCCACTCATACACATTTGAGTTTGTCCTTTGCGCCTCAACATTTCCATATGCACTCAAACGCATCCAAGCATTACGCCACTGATTTTTACAATATTCATTTGTAAAATTTGTTATCATGACAGGCCTAATCCCACCTGACATGATTTTCAGCTTTCCCAAGGAGAGTACTGTAGTCATCCTGAAAGAAACCCATTTATTTTAATCAGTCAAGCCATAAACTAAATGCAACTTATTCAAAAAAAAAAAAAAAAAAAAAAAAAAAAAAAAAAAAGAAAGAAATAAAAGTTCGGATTGCTTAATCCACATGTTCAGATTCAGGATGCCTGGAACTTTATGGCTGGCTACATTCTGGAAGAAACATGAACATTAGAGGAAAACTGAACAGGAACAACTGAAAACAATGGGGTATAACAGTTCCTGTTGCATGGAGAAACTGGGTCTTGGAGGGGGAAGGTAAACAGTCCTGGTCACAATCTAGTAGGGTGTTTGTTGGGGAATGTAGACCTAGTACCGGAGGACTTGTGAGAGGATGGGATGAGAGTTGGCAAGAGGTTGCAGAGTTGCAGTGAAGATTAAAAGTGGACAATGGCTTCCAGGAAAAAAAAAATAGTTGTAGCATCAAAATTTAGACTCCGTTCCTCTAAAGACAGGCAAAGACACACCCAGGGTGACAGAACATTAGGTGAAAAAGGATCATCCAGATGCTCCTTAAATCCTCCAAAGTTAATGAGTTGATTGAAGCCAGGTGTGGAAGTTGCAATCAGGTAGCCACACCAAAGAGTCTCACAAGAACACACACATCCCAAACAGGATTCTGACATCATATTTTTTTTCCCCATCTATGTCTAGTGACTTGGCATTGATTGGTTTGTGTTGGTTGTAACTAAACTGATTGCTTGATGTAACAGAACAAATAATCCCTTGTCGAGGGGATGGGAAAATTAATTCTGATCAGTCCAGATTTTTTTTTTAAAAAAATAAGCTAATTTTTTGATGGAACTATCATTTGTATTTCGCTGACACACATTTTTTTTAAGTTAACCATGTGCATAAAAAGAACAGCTTGTAATACATTCATCTCTGAAATGCATATTACCAGAGTAATTCAACCAAAATCTGTTCAACCATTGTTTTAGTTAACCTGGGAGAAGGAGCAATATGTTCTTGCCATCAGTGGGATGAGTCAAAGCGAAACCCCAATTTCATCTTCTCGGTTTTATTTCCACGCTGAAGTTCTAATAAGTCAAACTGATGGACTCATTTTCATTGCGGTAATAGAAAAATAAAAAGATCTTTTACGGCTTCTCTGAACTTTACAACCTTCTTTCATATCTTCCTGGAGTGAAATATCAGTGGACTGTGCTGTGTCTCATTGAGGTGAGCTGCACGGTGAAGTGGAAACAACTTGATCGAGGGGTGACTTTTGCCATTAAAAAAAAAAAATAAAATAAGCTGCAGTCTTGATAACGTTCTAAAAAACAGGCAGTTTGGAAGAGTGATGATTAAAATTTGAACAGAGATGCAAAAGGCAGAGCAGTAGTGGGAGAAAAATAATTGGAGCAGGGAGCAATGGGTCATATGCAGTGACTAATTCACCCGGCAACCAAAATTTTTCACCTACGTTTAGACTGATGTTGATTATAAATGTAGTTCAAAGATGCATGAATCCTTAAGAAGGTTCTTGATGAGAAACCTTGATTAACTGGTTTGAAAAAAAAAAAATCAAGGGACTTCAGGTTATAGTAGCATTTAAATAAAGATTTCTATTTTTTCCTCCACATAACATGAACAAAACAATATTACTCAAGACATTTACATTAAGATATTAAACCCTGCAAAGAAAAACTAAACATTCTTACCCATTTTTTTAACCCTAACCCCTTTTGGAAGATAGGCAAGTGAAAGACACTTTTTGTTTAAGAATTTTCTTTGATTTGTCTTTTTATATCTGAAAAACCTGGCAATGTAATGTCTGAATTATATTAGACTGTTAACAGGCCTTGACATGTCACCATAGTAGTAAGATTGTTACCTGTTGTATTGCAGTTATGACAGTTATGGCCTTTGTACTCCAATGTCGTTGTAGTTGGAGTTGAAAGTCGTCTTAAAAATGTTAAACATTTCTTTAAAATTGTTTATTTTGACCACAGATGCTATTTGATCACTGACATTACCATTGCTGCAGGCAAACCTGGACATTTTATGTCCATGTATCCTGCAATTACTGACATGAAAGGGCTTTGGACGCCCCATGCATCGCTGTTCAAAGGTGAGCCATTCACAGTTTGACATCAGGAGGTTATTACAGATCCAAACCAGAGTACAGCAGCCAACAGCTATGAATTTAAAGAAGGTAATATGAGATAAATGATGATTAATCCAGGAAACATTACTGCAAAAATCATATATAAATCGATACAATGATCTTAAAATCCCAGACATTTCTCTTGTTCTTAAAAAACAAACTGCCAGAAAAAAATGAAATGTTTAGTACTTTTCATTAAATAGCTGAAAACAACCTCGGGTCATAAACTGGAGTATAAAGAATCCATGTAATTTGAATTTATGTACCTGTACAATAAATCTCAGAGTTGCTTCTAATTCCAACATTAAACTCCTATTGAAAACACAAAAGCTGACTTAAGCCAGGCTAATGTGAGTAGGGAAAAGAGGCCTTGCCTCTGTGAGTATCCATAATTCATTTTGCAGTTTTACTACACATAGCAGTGCACATTGTATTATGGAGTAAGCAGCGTGCTCATGAATGATTGACAAGCTACCAGCTTCAGCATGGCCAAACACAAGGATAGCATGGCGTTGCATAAGCACGGAGAACACAACTTTGCTCTTTATCCCGAGGCAATGTGAATGCCTTCGGTTTGGTTGAGAAAGAAATAAAATAGTTGACACCGCTACACAATTTATGCTTTAGAGATTCCTGTTGCGATTTGTAGGTGTTTGTAGTTTGGTTGTTGTTTAGTTTTTGTATTTTTTTGTTTGTTTTTTTTGTTGATATTTTGTCACTGATGGAGTTCCATACAAGTTCATTCCTTTGTGTTGAAATTCTTCAGCATTCTGCTTTTGTGTATTATTTTAGATTCGTATTCAAACATTAGTTTTGTTCTCTTGTGCTTGGTTTTATCTCCTCTTAATTTGATTTTATTTTGTAACTCGTCAGAATATCTTGTTCCTGCACTGCATTTCCTGATTAGTGACACCTGTTTCTCATCCACCAGGAAGTGAGTGTTTCTTGTTCCTCACTGGATGATGTGCCGTGCATTTGAGATTCCAAATTATTATTTTATGGTTTTCATTGATGTGAGTACATAACCTTTTTTGTGTGCATCATTACATTTTTTTACTGCCTTTTCATCGCTGACTGTTGAAACTTCATATTGGACTTCAAGCATCATGGATTACAAGCCTTCCCACTCTTCTTCCAGACTTGAACTTAAAATGAAATACAAACTGAGGACTTTGGACCACGGAGGAACAGTCCAATTTTCACTTTGGCCCTGGTAAGACATTATATTTGAGGCAGAAACATATTTCAAATGCTTTTGTGGCTTTAGGAACGCCTTAGAACTAATGGCCATATCTTGACTGGAATGTTTCACACCAGTTAGGGAGACTTAATGATGCAATGCACAATTTACAAACCCGTGTTGCCTATGCGACACCACCAATATGAGAACTCTTGGTCACACTAAAATTATTTTGAAAATCTTGTTTTCTTAATAATTCCTTACTGTAGCTTGATGTTAACCCTCTACATAACTAAATTTTTTGAGATGGTTAGATGGACATTAGCATTAATTTTTATTAACAGCTTCTCCGTGTCGTTCCCACATTGCTTGAAGTTTAACGTGAACGTGTGCTCGCCTTACACTTCTTGTGCTGATGGAAGCGCTTTAACAATCCTTTCCACACTCTTTTTCCAAACTGCTCGTTTCAACCTCACAGCCCCCCTCAGGTAGGTCCTTAATACCTTCACTGTCTCTCGTTACAGATGATTTTATGCCGTTATGTTCTGCCGGTGGGAGGGTTTCTGTGGAGCAATTCTTCTCAAAGGATTCCCACTCGTTCACATGATGTGTTTCAACACAGTGTTTGAGATGGGAATTGCCCTGCGATGTGATGTACGGCGGTCATAGAGCAGCTGGTGAAGCCTCACTATGTGTGAGTACAGTACATGCTGAATGTTGGAAGTTTTTCTTTTTTTTTTTTCCCTGTAGATAATAATTTGAGTCTGCTTTTGATTGAAATTTGAGTCAAAGTGGTAACTCTAGATAATACTTTTTTGTTTTCGAGTGAGCAGAACTAAGCTTGAACAGTAACTGTGGATAATTAAGGCAGGGGGAAAGAAAAAAAAAAGAAAAAATCAAATTGTGTTCCTCACAAATGGATCTTTTGGCACGTGAGGCTACAGGCCGCTGTGTTTGGTGGGTGGGCCAGCATTGTTCATTCATGATAAATGAGCATTACGCCTGAGCAGCTCTGAACCGAATGAACATGCGTAGAAAATGGTTTGCTGGCTCCAATAGTTGTGTTCTGCCAGGGAAACAAATAAGACTAAAGAGGCGACACACTAGTTGGAGCATATCGTGATTTGTTTTGATGCTAAAAGCCATTTTTGTGAGGCTCCCATTTGTTCACCGTGAAGATGCTCTTGTTGCATCAACAGTTACTCCTTAAAGTTTTCCTTTAAAAAAAAAAACAGCACTTTTTAAACAACTGGCTTTTCCCTCCTCCTTCCTTCTCCCCCTCTCACTGTGTTATATGCAGCTAAGCACGCATTCAGTGAAATGAAGTCGTATATGAATATATATTTTTGAGATGTAATAAAATATTCCTTGCATGCATCTCTTGATGATGTACAATAATAGCAAACAGGTTGTGTGTTCTTATTTATATTTCATTAGGTTTTGTCACTTTAATGGATTTTATGTCACTACAGTGTATGGCAAAAATATGTATGCCATTTGAATTATGTTGACATTTTGTTGCAAATTTTAATCTATTCAAATCCATTCAAGTTTGTGACAAAAGTATATGTGGAGGTTTTCTGCTTCTTTAAGGAATTACATCATGTTGGCACGGACTCATCTGATAGATTTACAGCTAATGGAAGAACTTTATGCAACCTTACAATCTGTAATGGGAATTTTCTAAAACAGCTTTTTTTTTTTAATTAATACAAAGACTGACAAAACGAACAACTTAAAACTATAAGAAAAGTCTTGCAGCAGGTTTTGTTATCACTACCCATATAGTATACAAGCAGTGGTTTAAACTGATCCAAGTTCACAGGACTTGTTCTGCTGAAGGCTTTGTTGTTACACAGCAAAAAAAAAAAAAGCATGAAAGTGGGTCAAACTTGCCAAGGCAAAACCAATTTCACTGTAAGATTCAACAAAGAGCAAACAATTGATTTCAAATTCAGTTATCCTTTCTTTTTTTTCCCGTTGCGTGGATCTCGAGCCGTGACAGTACATGCTAAGTTAAGAGATCACAAGATGATTCAACAAAGCAACGGGACAATCCTGAGCTGTAACCACTGGACATAGAAATTCTTCTACAGAAGCCATTTTAACCCAAAGCAATTCAGTTTAACCCCTGAGGAAGATGCTTTTTTTCAGCTTTTCTGTCAAACAAATCGTTATATGCATTTCCCATTAAAAAAAAAAAAAAGTGTTAACATTGTAAGTCAGTTATTGGATTTGTGAATTTAAAAATGGGTGATGATGCAGAATAATAATTTAAGCAAACATTGCACCTACAGATGAATATTATACTAATAAAAACAGTTGCATACAATCTGAAATTTCATTATGTTTTTTTTCCCCTCTGTTGAATTGTATTTTTGAGTGTTAATAGTCAGAAACATACACTGTAAAAAGAAAAGTGAGTGGAAAGCAAGATGCCAACACTGGGAGATCGAAAACATGTACATTTCCTTTGAAAAGCAACAGATTTCCGTTAAATGTACACTTAAACTTTCAAAAATCTGATTTCAAATTAATTTGTTTATTAGTGAAAAGCAGCAGTCTAAAGCAACCAGTAATTGCTCCCCTTGGGGTTTTATTAATTACTGATGATTAATCAACTTTTTTTTTGGACTTTTTATTTAAGCTGGATTCAATTAGCAAGTCAAACCCCTCTAGGCCCGATGACTGCCATTCCTTTATAATCAATAAATCACTTAATAGGAGTCAAACTCAAACCAGGGTGGCCTAGTCAAACTCAAGAATTGAATCTGAAACTGATCTAGGTGCTGCTGTATGACCGTAACGGGCATTTGAGAAGAAGATAACCAAATCAGAAATCCTCCAATCCGGCTGTAATAATAAAACGCCACCACCACAGTAGGCACAAAATTACCCGCAGCGCATTATGAATCTCATTCGCAGTTCTGACAAATGCTTGATGGCGGCAGTTACTGCAAATGTTGGCCAAACCGTTTATTAGGTTTAGGGAGCAATATGACCGGTCTGGTTTCCAAAGCTGTTTTTAATACACAAGATGAGCGTTTGAAAAATGAATTTTGTATTCATTATTTTTCGAGATTTTCTTTGAGGGTCTAGCAGCCCTAATTTAACTGGAAATGGGGAGAGAGAAAGGAAAAGCTTGTCACAAATTTCAGGACAATGGCATACAGCGAAACGGTCTTTCCGCACTGTTGCAAAAGCTGCTAATAATCAAAGCTAGCCGATGAGTTTGATACGCTGGTTGACTAAACGTTAAAGAAAACAATCTGCTACAAATGACATGTTCCATCTGTAATCTTGTTTAAAGGTTTCATTCTGTCCATCTGGCCGTCCAAGCCTGGCCCTTTCTCTGATTACTTCAGGTACACGTTTGTCACATTGTTCAGAGTTTATCTTTTGTTGTTGATGTAGCTCGATCAGGTTTTTTCCACATAGAGGTTTCAAAGTGCAGACACCTTCATAGTACTTGCATTGTAATGCTGAACGGCTTTTTTTCGCCCCATTTTGCTGAACAGTCTTTACAATGGGGGGAAACAAAAGGCTTCCCTGAAGCTATACAACCTTATAGTTTCTTCGAATATATAATCTTTTCTTTTGAGATGTACTTTCTTTGTGCGAGACAGCGAAGACATGGAGTCGTGCTGAGATGTCTCGCTATAGCGTCTCTTCTACAATGCAGAGATCATATTTGAGATCACTGATATGTTCACGGATTGATGGCACTACATTTCTTTTTTTTTCTTTCATCTTTACGCATTCCTATTAGTTGTTATCCAAGAAATGGAAGGGATTAAATAAATTAACTGAACAAACACTGAAAAAGCAGAAATCTTACCATGTATTTTTGCTGCAACACAAAACTATCTTACAAGTACATTTTCATGTAAATAATATATCCACAAATAAAAAATGTAGCACTCTTTACAGTTGGTAGACATGCCTTACAACAATATGGCGCTGCAACGGAACGGCAGCTTGTGAAATGGAGGAACTGTCACACCCCAATCCAACACTTGTAATCAAATGCATGAGATTTTCAACCAAGCTTAAGGTTTAGCAGGCATCTTTGGTGCTTTGTTCTGCAGGACGGGAGCAGTGACAAATCTGGGGGTACAGCAAGAATCAATAAAGTCATTTACAATGGCAGAACTGTCATTGTTCCACGCTCAAGGATGTTTGAGTCAATAAGGTCCCGGAGGTTGGTGACCAAACTCAATCATCCCTTCCGTGATACTTCAAACGGGCACTGGAGCTCATCATTCAGCAGGATTCATTTCCTGGTGTGATGCGCCCCATTTCTTTAGTTGGTCTGAAAGCCAGTCAGACTCGGACGAAGGAGATTGGTGCAGAGCGCGTCAGAAGAGTAGCAGAGTGTGTGGATTTAACAAGCGGGAGTTTGAGTGTCTTCAACACCTCTCATAATCAGTTGCTGGAGAAGCAAGAGGTTGACGATATCACACCTACATGGCGTCTTTTTCTTATACTCAACACTGGAATATTGAAATACAGATTTTTTTTTTCCTTTTATGATACTCAAATTCAGATTCTCTAAAGGGTTAATATTAGAGATACTGAGATAAAGTACTAAGTAATTCCCGTAAGCTAGCCACACTCGAGTTTCACCTCTGCTCCATATTCTCGCAGTTGTCATGATTTAATAAGAGGCGTTACTTTTCTTTACATTGTGTCCAGTTGATTTGGATAGGCTTTTTTTTTTTTTTTTTTTTTTACATTTCAAAATCAGGGTATTTGTGCTTCTAATTTGCAACAGTTTAATAGAATGGAGGAAAAAATTCTCAACCCTCCAGCTTGGACCTAACTAAGACCACTTTACCACTGCCGCACATATTAATTTTTCTGAGTTGAAAAGGCTTCCCTGCCTTGCCTGGGGCCCATGTTGGTCTTCTAGGGCCATCCACCCACTACTAGAAAGCAGCAGGGCTGTGACCTGTTGAATAGACAGTTTAGCTGACAGTAGTTCAAAGGTGAGAGGGCAACAAGCTGGAGCTGCAACCGGCTGCTCTGGGCTATGTGTCGAGGGAGGAAAGCTGGAAAAGGACACCAAAGGCCCACATTAATGGAGCGGCTCATCATTTTGTAATGCGTTTCAGTGCTCCATTTTTGTTCCTTTAAAAAAAAAAAAAATAATAAAAAAATAAATAGAAGTACTGGACTTTCTACACTTTAAATTGAAACCCAGAAGAAACTCCGTCCTGTAACTTTATGTTGATGAAGCAGGTTTAGAGGTTACAACCAGACCTTTGACTTTTAATAATTGGTCAGATACGTTACCAGTTAATGGTTTGGTTTTGACTTGCCTCATGGCAGCAGCTATGTAGAGAAACTCGATGTAAAAAGTGGTCGAGTAATGCAGACTGTGCCACTAACGAGCTGTGTGTAGGAGGAAATTGGAGCACTGGCCTTTGTGCTGTCAGATTTTTCTGTCTTTTAAGTGTCTAGTTCCCACTGTATGTGCTTCCTTCATTCACACAGTCGTCTTCTGTGTTTTGCTCTGGTCAAGTCGTCTGTCAGGCAGGCACAGAGGTCCCCGAGCTCGTCCAGAGTAAACACCAGCCAGGTGTCTCCGGTTCATTACTTTGTCATAGGGAAGCATGGGCCTCCAACACGAGCCATTAAACCTAAGACCAGTTGAATCTTCTCGGCTTATGGTCTTTTTAAAAAAAATTATTT